TTTAATAACGTCGAAAAATATTAAAATATAGTTTGTTCCGCTATCCAAATAAATTGATAAAAAATAGGCGCGCTGCTCAAACACGGTGGCGCATATGTGTTCACATTGCGTTTCACTCTAGAGGTCTCGGGTTCGAATCCCATACGCGTTCATTATATTTTTTTCGCTTTTACAAAACTTTTTACCCTACTATTATTTTTTAAAACATATTAAATTCGTTTTAAAAACATTTTAATTGTTACTATTAATTTATTAGTCTGTTATTTTCCGAATTCCACCTGTAAATATTCAAGACTATTGCACCGTATTGATGTATAGGTCAATTTTATCGAAAAATCGTTTCACAAAAACCCATTTTGCCGAATCATAATAAATACTATACTTTAACTGTATTTTATATTCTGAGTGGAGCGAAGAACCTTATGGTTTTGCATAGATGTTTTTTTTTTTTATCTGTGGGCAACTTTTCTACCAGAAGTCTTATTCCGATTTTCAAGTACTATTACAATTTTTTGTTTTCTGTGGACTACTTTTCTACCAGCAATTTTGCTCCAACCTATATTGATAACAACAATTGTAAAAGAAAATTTCACTAGGGAGGTACTTTAGAAAGGCTATTTTTCGATTTTATCAAGAGTTTTGCCAGCAAATGTGATAAACCTGAAAAACCTGAAAAACCGGAAAAATAGGAAAATGGGTGAGGAAAACAAATATTATATTTTAGATAATATATAATGCTTGATAACCTATTTGGGCGTTTTTTATGTTAACGGGCACAAGTCATTTTTTGTTGATTTTCAGTAGGTGTAAAAAACCTTCCAAATTAATTTTTATTTTCTTCTAAATCTAAATTGTTTTTTTATTTATATTAAATATAATATAACACGGACAATAAATTTAATGTTCCTTTATCGTGTTAAGTATAACTGGATAAATGTTAAATTCATAAACTAACAAAAAATTATATCATAGCATAAATTCACAAACGAATCGAGTCGTTTTGCATATAAAAAAAATCATTCATTTTGACTTTTGCCTTATCGCATTTCAAAATACTATGATAAAAAATCATCGCGCGACCATGACAATTCTACCATTCGATCGAGCGTAAAATTTCACAAAATATAAGTATTATTACCAAGTTTCAAGTCTCTACATGTATTTATAACCGAATTACAGCAAACCAATCTCAAATCATTTTTTCTGGTAGAAAACGTTAACTGTGTTTTTATATGTTTTTCGAAAAAAAAAATATATACACAAATAGTTGACATGTCATTTATCTGATAATAGTTTTAAACGATTTAATGTGAACCTGCTATGATGTCATGAAAACCTGTCGATATTTATTATTTTGGTATTTATATAAGTATCAGTTGTTGTGCCAAACCAAAACTAGTTTTACTGTTTTACGAATGCCGAAGGCTTTTGAAAAAAATAAGTACCTAAGGTTTTTTTCTGAAAATCTATATTTTTATTTTCTTATATTATATTATTATAGGTTATCTTTCTCACTAACAATCTTTCTCGCCTATATATTTTTGGCTTGGTCGAAAAAGAAACGGTGTTCGGTCGTTAACGGTTAAGCCCATTTTTCGTCACCCTTATTTTTGGTATTAAATCCTCGATCTAATTATGATTCTCAAATGGTAACCTTCTTTAAGTCCATAAAAAGATGGAGTATTTGTGAAAATACATTTTAGTGTTGCCATTTTTAATATCTATCAACCTAAACTTAAAAGTGGAAAATTCAACACTCAAATTTATTTTAACTAATACTCCATTTATTTATGGAATTTTTAACATAGGTGCCGTTTGAAAATCAAAAGTAGGAAGTGGTTTTACTCCCAAAACTACGGGTGTCAAAAAATAACTTAAATATAAAATTGCAGATCTGCATATTTATTAAATGTTCTAGAAAACAAATCCCGAAAATATTTAATATTTTCCGAGATCATGAGTATACCTAACCACTATTACCCGGTATAATGCAATTAAATTTCATTCTTTTGATTCTTTAGATATGTTTGGTATTGCTACGTATACAAAACTGTCTACTAAATTGAAGGTAGAATACTATCATTAGTATCATTTTTAAATTTTACTATGTTTTTTAGTCTGGGGTTAATGTTGAGTTTGTTCTAATTTTTTGAATATTTGAATATGTATTAGTAGTACAATAATGATTGTTCTGTGACAGCCATATATTTTTCACTCTAGAAACTAATTTTTGATCTTTTTGCACAACATAAATTTAAAAAATTATAGTTAGAAAAATAAATTTAAAAAATTTAATTTAATAATATTTAAAAAAATAAATTTAAAATAATTTTGTTTTTTAAAAGTCCTAAAAGTGATATCTAAACAAGAGAAATATGCATTTATTATTTTTAAAATTAAATAATATTTAAAAACTATTTACGAGCTTTCAATTAGTTAATGGACTGATTTTCTTCTTTTTAACTTGTAAATTTTTAACATTATTGACAATTTTTTCCATTTCTTTATTATATTTTTCTTGTTCTTTTTCCGCTGCTATCTTATGTTTTATTTCTATAATAGTATTTGCAACTTATCCTCCCAGCTAATGCACTTGCAGCTCCTATTTCAGCAAAAAGAAGTGGAGGAAATCTACCTTGTTTAATTTATTCATATTTTAATTCTAATCTAGATTCCTTTTTCCTTTTCTTAGATTTGTTTAATTTTATTATTTTGGTTAAATTAAACCTTTGATTTAGTGTTCCAATTTGGTTATTTGATAGTTGAATCATAATAACTACGAGTATAATATATTAAAATATAAATAGGAAAATACAATAACAATATTTGATTGTAAAATGTATAAAATATAAACAATTCCGATATTTTTTCGTTTCGATTAATATTTTTCTCAAAGAGAATAATAATTCTATTAACAAGAAATAGTGTTGGTAATATTGGATTATAAATAAATCCTAATGATCCAATTGTAGTTGAAAACAACTTTAAAATAAGTATACATAAACTAAGGTTATTATAGAAATTATAACTTTTGCGATATATATACATTCTCTTTTCTAAATATTCATTCATCATCTGTTTATTAAACTAAGATAAACAATAAATTCTGTACATTTATTAAATATATTCCCTTCTAAGTCAAAATTATTTAATCTAATGTTTTGAATTTTTCTCTGATTTATAGGTATATAAGTTATAGTTGGTGGTTTTATGATCAAATAATCTTGTGGGTTATTAAAAATAAATAAAAGATCTTCATAGTGAATATTAACGTTTTCTTTGTGATTGGATATGGATTTTTCTACTATATTACAATGTAATTCTAAGGGAAAATTAGATGGTTTACTTGCCGGATAAATTCCAATTTTTGAAAAACCAGCAAACTTAATCCCTAGATTATCACAAAGGAATTTATCAAACATAAAATTATTTTCATCATTTTTAATTTCAATTAAATCATTATCAAAAACTTTTATATTAATTTTTAAAATATTATTTAATTGTTCAATAGTATAGTTCGATCTTTAAATATTAATAATTAAACCGTTATCAAAATATATGTTTACTATATACTATATATTGCTTAAATATTTTGCATTATTTAAATTTGATGTTTTTTTCAGCAGTTGCAGTAAAAAATGTTTTTCCTGTCTCAATATCTTCTTGAAAAGGCCATCTATAGCCGAATAATTTTGAATATTTTTCTCCATTAGGTTTTGTAACATCGTTATCATTTAATTTATATTCAAAATCTAGACAATCGGATAAATATGAATCAAACCCAATATTAAATGGAGATTATATTTTTAATAATCCGTTTTCAAGTGTAACTTTTGTGTTTTTATTTAGACTTTATTCTGGGTAACTATTAAATATTTCTTCATTAGATTTTAATGAATACCATCGAACTGTTAATGTATTCGTTGGTATATGTCCGTTTTTCCCAATAATAAATTTACATTCTTGATTAAATTGTACAATCTCATCTTTCGGATTAGGTTATATAAATTTTAATGGAAAATATCCAACTATAGTATTTTTTATTGTGTTAAACTACTTATCTTTTTCAAGATCAAAACTTAAATATTTATTTAACTTTTCTTCTAATTTAAAAAAACATTAGATTTAATATTAATTTTATCTCTTTCTATAGAAATTATTAATGGTTTAACAATTTTATTTAACTCATCTATAGTATATTTTCCAGATTTTAATTAAATTATATTACTTTCAACTTTTAATAAACAATCTGTTTCAATATTTATTAAATTTGAAGTAATACTTAAACCTAAAACATCAACAAATAAATTATCACTATTTATAGGATTTTCTTACCTTATAAATCCGTTTTTTATTTTTATTATTCTTATTTATTACAAATAATATTTTTTAAATTAAAAAATACGTACTAGAAAGAATATACGAGTATAAAAATTATAGAATACAGATAATATATTATAATGCTACTAGTAACACTATTTAAATTCAATCAAAAAAAAAATATTTTATTGTTATTCAGTTGTTTTACACCTTTACAAACCAAAAAGATTTGTTCTTGTGTGTCTTAATTGATTGTTTCAATTTCTCTATGAGAAAAATTATTTAAAAATCTATCAGGTAAAAATAATTTAAATTTATCATCTAAAATAACACGTAATTTGTCACCACATCTTGTTTTATCAATACTAAAATATTTGCATAAATATTTTTGATCAGTTTCTATATCACTTAATTTAATGAATTTATAATTAAAAGTGACGCTATTTAATTTTAAAATTTTCCATTTATTATAGAAAATATTTTTTTTTAATCAAGTTTCAAAAAAAAATTTTAAAACGAAAATGGAAAATAAAAAAATTTGAATTAAAAATATAGAAAAAATTTGCAATAGTTTTCCCAATGCAATCACATACACTGTGGCCACTTTTTTTTTTGTTTTTCTCACACGTTTTAGATATTTTTTTTACACGATTGGAATGGGTTAACTATTGTCCTAATGTTCTAATCTATATATCCATAATATGATTACGCCAATTTTTAATTTCGGTTGCGCATGAGTTTATTACCATGGATAAGCTACTAAAATTATGAAATCAAGCAACAAACAACATGTACAAGCGTCACAAACATATAACAAATACAGTTTTATCCAACGGTTTCGGTTTACGAATATTACATCACGCCAGTGGTTGAATTTTGTTTTGCTAATTTATAATAGCTTATTGGGTTCGAACCTGCTACATATTGAATTATAATCGAAGTATTGACCACTAGACCAGAACACTAGGACATAAAAGTACAATGAAGTCAGTACATTTAAGTATTATAAATTTAATATTATTTCAATATAATGATAGATCTTATAAATAATATATATTTATATATTTAGGAAGGGGCAATTTTTGAAATGCTCTAACTTATTCAATAATAATCAGAAAAATGTAAAACAAAGACGAATGTTATTTTTAAACTTATTTACACTACATACTAAAAATCGATTTTCGGGTAGTCCAATTTTGAGAATTTTTGAGTTTGAATATCTCAGCGAGAAATCAACGTAGCTCAATTCTGTTTTCATCTACTCCTACTAAACCTTAAACGATCTTTTAGAATATGTTATCAAATTTTGTCTGAAATGATTATTAAGAGATTTTGAATTCTACTAGATCGATTGACTTCAAATTTTATATATACTTTTAAAATATAATCTTTGTTAACACATAGAAATTTGGTAAAATTCTAAAAGATAGAAATAAATTTATTAACAATACAAATTGTAATGTTACATTATTGGTAAATACATAATATTTTAATAACAAAAAAAAATATTATTAGATATTTACGATTTGAAAAGAGAACTTTTACTAGCACAATGTTTATGTGAAAATAGTTTTTAAATATAATTAAACTTTAAAAATAATAAATTTATCTTGTTTTGATATAACCTTTTGGACTTTTTAAAACATTTTATTTTTTTAAATATAATATTTTAATTTATATATGTGAACAAAGAACAGGAAAGAAAATAATGTGAACAGAGATCAGAAATTAGTTTCAAAATGAAAAATATCTGTCTGCCCCAGAACAAACATTATTATACTACTTGTATTTATGTAATTAAACCATATTTTGTATTGCTGCAAAAAGAATATTATGATATAAATATTTCACTATACTTAGATTAGATTTTTCATAGTCCTGGTCGCACATAATTTTATTTAAAAAATGTGCGAAAATCAAAAAGAGGAGGAAATACACGTCCACTAAATTGTTTAAAGGTTGTCATCATTTTAAAAACAAAAATAAATGTTAAAAGTGAAAAAAAATAGTGAAAAAACCAATAATTTATCAAGAGAAATGTAGTAAAAGAAAATTTTTTGTGTTTGGTTACAAATCAAGCACAAAAAATTTTGTTGTTTCCGCCCAGGATCGAACTGGGGACCTTCTGCGTGTTAGGCAGATGTGATAACCGCTACACCACGGAAACGTCCCGAGAACTCCTATTTTTTCCTATTAATTTAAATATTTCAAGATGCTACAACTTGTTGCGATTGTTATAAATCTACTATGTCGATTTTTACCATTGTTTTCCTGTAGATTCTTTATGATACTACCGTGGATTTGGGCTAGACATAATTCATTTTATACTAGTTTAACATTTAAAAACGTCGAAAAATAGTAAAATAAGGTTTATTCCGCTATCTAAATAAACTAAAAAAATATGGGCGCGCTGCTTAAACACGATGGCACACATGTATTTATATTGCGATTCACGCTAGAGGTCTCGGGTTCGAATCCCGTACGTGTTCATTATATTTTTTTCGCTTTTACAAAACTTTTTACCCTATCATTACTTTTTAAAACATATTGTTTACGTTTCAAACATATTTTAATTGTAACTATTAATTTATTAGTCTGTTTTTGTCGATTTCTACCTGTAAATATTAAAGACTATTGTACCGTATTGATGTATAGGTCCATTTTTATCGAAAAATCATTTCGCAAANTTTTTATCTGTGCGCAACTTTTCTACCAGAAGTCTTATTCCGATTTTCAAGTGTAACACCTTTTCTAATCGGAAATTATTTACTATATTATAGCATATATATTGTTGACATCGCTATCAGCTGAATTCCACTCAGGATCATTCTTCGTAAGCAATGGTTTACGAATAAATTATCTTTAACAGTGACTTTACCCGTCCCATTATCCTATGATTTCATTTTGTGTTTTTATGGAATAAAAATATTAATTTATGAATTAATTAACTTGGATCTTCTTTTAAGAGATTGTGGCAGTAGATACATAAACGAAATAGACTTATGCAATGAAATAAAACTATTTTGCAACATAATTGATTCCTCTTACAATACACTAATTCAGTGCATACAACTTTTACATCAAATTCGCGATTCATTTCCTAATAAAACGGTGACTTTAAGAATTCTTTTAACAACGCTAGTAACTACTGCGCATAGGTAGATCCGAGATGGCTTAAGGGGTCTTAGCCCCCCAAATATATTAGAATTTATCAGAATTTGTCTAGATTACAGTTAATTAATCAATTCTTTTGCTGAACACAAAGTTAGGAAAATACATTTTCTGTAATTGTAAATTGTTTTGTTAATAAATATGTGTGTATAGCATATACTTAAATTTTTGTTTTGTAATTATAAACCATGTTATATATATATATATTTAGGAAGAAATATATATTATAAACCAGTAGCAAATCTGAAGCTTATTCAGAGCTTATTATAAGAGGGGCTGAATTGGTATCATAGATTCATAAGTACTACCAAGGTCGTAACTGAAAACACATTTCCGGGGGGGAGGGGGGGATCCAAATTTGTTTTAATATAGTAAACATTTATATTTGTTTACGTTCAAAACGTTTTTTAATAATTGCAGGAAGTTCTAGTCGTTCTGGACCACCGGAGACGTCTCCTGCTAAGCAGCAAAATTAATTTATCTGTCTTTGTATCTATAATCAAAAACTATAACTGTTGTCTACAACAAATTTTGCTTATAACCAATTTATTTTGAACATATTGTTATTTAAATTTGATAATTTATATTGATAATTAAATAATAAAAATTGATAAGATATTCAAAAGAGCATCTAATTTATATCAAATATTAAGTTATAGTTGTGATTTATAAATTTCATATTCATTATATTAATGGCGCTTTAGATTGAGTAACGAAAAAAAATTTAGGGGAGAGGCAATCACCACGTCACGCGTCACCCTCCCCCTCAAATCCACCACTGTAATAAACTAGAATCATTTAAATTAAGGAGCCCCATTAAAATATTTTGCTATATACAATTTAACAGGTTATAACCTTTTTTTTTTGTTTGCTTGTGAAGAGCTGACATAGAGATATTAGATTTATTGGTATTTTGAAAAGTAGATGTAATATTATGTAAAATGATAACGAGTCAAAAAAATATTTATTATCGATTTTATTTATTTATTTAAATTATTATCACTAAATATCAGTTAAACAGGAAACTCCATATTACCTAAAAAAAAAAAACCACGGGGGGATGGGATCCATTCCCCATATCGGATATGTTTTATTATATGTATATAAAATAATAAATGTTTTAAGAATATTATAATGTGTAATACATAAAAATACGATTTATAGAATTACGTAATGCACAAATTTGTATTTTATATTTTATTAATTTCTATCTAGTGTAACATAAATACTAAGGGTCCGGCTTGAAGGCGGCGCGAGCCCTGCGTTAATAATACAGTCAGATAGTAATGTTTCACGTGATTATTCGGGAAAATACAAATTAAAATTAATACGAACCAAGAATAATGTTATTGGTATTGTAGAGATTCACTTACGCGTTTTGTTCACGTTGTAGATGAAGTCCAAATAACATAATATTGTGCGGTTCGCCGTAGCCGAAATATTGTGCCCGTTGAACAGACGACACGACGGAATTGAGTAATTCGCCGACAAAAAAAAAATCACTACGAAAAATACATAGATTCAAAGATACGTGATGACGTTTCACATATTTCCACTTATTACCATAGACGCCCTCACGGCACTGGGATTGCACTATAACAATAATTTTATTAACGGTTTATTTTTTAATCCGTATTATCGAGATGACCTATAGGCTTAATTATTATTAGTGCCTACGTCATACACATTCGAATCTTATCAGTTTTATCGATTGGATCCAAACAAATAAAATAGCCCGTTTAAAATGCATGCAAGTTAAATTAATTTTTATCAGTTTAAGTTATCTGAAAACATTTTAGAGCAATTTTTACAAAGACTACTTTTACAAGAAGTTATAGAAAGTATATGCAATTTATATTATTGTATTCCCTCTGTTATTATTATTCTTTATATATCTTGCAACATTAAAATTATTTGTTAATAAACATTACTAATAAATATTTATTTTCATTACACAAAATATTAATTATGATTTTAAGTTACTTAATAAATATCAATAAACAAGAAATGTTATTACAAAAAAAAACGAAATCTATCTGATATTATATGATTATTATGTATTTATATCATTAATATATTAATACATATGAACTATTACAAAGTCTTAAAATAATAAAATATTTAAATATTATTAAGATATGATAAATATTTTTAAATAATGGTTTAAGGAACTCTCAAATTTATCTCCCTTTCAACATCTTTTTAAATTTCTGATATTATGGCCTGTTGTGGTGTCCAAACTACTAAATAACAAAACCGACGATGTGTTAAATAAAGTTGTCCTTGAATTTGGTCGCAACAAGGACGTTTTTTATTTACAAGGATTTCATTATTTTTGTTGTTCAAAATGTAATTATGATTTTTTTCAATTTCATTTTCAAGAACAGAATTCCTTAACTTTCATGGGCATTTTATCTCTACAATGTGAGTTGTATTAAGTAAACCATCTAGTGATGCAACTAGTATTCCATTATTAGTAAGCATTATTATTATTCATATTTTGTTCATGTTCTAGTACCCTAATACCATTTACTTCATTAATATTACCCCATCGTGCATGTACACCAGTGAGATTTGTATTATTATCTAACGATTCAAACAAAAACATAGGATATCTATTTCTTTTACAAACAGTCAGAACTCGTCCAAAATTACTAGCTGTCAGTCTATTTTGCCTGTAATGAAACTATAAATAATTTTTACTCTGCCCAGTCTGCCCTATTGTGTCCTTAGTAATTCTTAGTACAGTGTTATTAGTGATATAGAACTTAGAATTCTTCACATTTTTCAAGTAAACTA